TATATATATATATATATATGTGTGTGTTTATGTGAAAAGTGTATATAAATATAAATAAATATATCTATGTATAGTTATTTATATATTATATGCGCGGTACTTATTATAAAGCGCTCAATATCAGAGATAGAGCTTTTGGTTGGATAGATGTGAGTTTGTGACCCTGCGTTTTACGTTTAGCGATCGTCACACAAACTGACGATCGCTAAAGCATGAAAGCCAGGTCACAAACTCATATCTATCAACAAACTATATATATATATACATATATATATATATATATATATATATATATATATATATATATATATATATATATATATATATATATATATATATATATATATATATATATATATATATATATATACATATATATATATATATATATATATATATATATATATATATATATATATATATAAATATATATTTCAACAAATTTGATTCAAAAGAACAGACGATTTCTGTTTAATTCTTTTATTATATTTTTCCAATTTTCGGATAAGGAGTTGATTATTGTGCTCGAAGTTGTGAATAAAGTGTCTGGAGTTTTTATTTTTTGGTTCAAGTACTTTAGACTTTAGCGATCATTATCTTTGAAGCGATGTCTGTGTGGTCGTTTTAATTTCTTTGTCTGCATCTTGGTATTCACTGGGCATTCTCACGTGACCTCCTGCCAACGGGAACGAAGCAATACACAAAAGAATGCGATTTATTTATTTTAATTAATTCTATCAATTGATTAATTTATTCGTTCAGTTTTTATACTAATATTCGCGCATCAATTATATCATATGCTCTTCGGGATACCATCTCCTGTGGTGAATAATATGTCGGCTGTTTATTTTATATAAAAGAACCTTCTAAAGTGTTGAGTTTTTCCTGGCATCTTGTGGTATAGAGTAATTTGATGTTTTGACAGGTGACAAGTCAATCTGCGTGAGATTGTGGGGCATATGTGTCCAATGTAAGTATTTCATTTTGACTTTTGATTATTTATGCTGAAGATGCAGCAACCCAAAGAACATGAGAATTCTTAGACAACATTATTTTTACATAGGGTAGAATTATGAGGCCCGGTGTTAGTGGTGATAATTAAGTTAGATGTTGTAAACTTTTTATTATAGGTGATAAATATTTGTTAGCATCGATGCGAACCGGCGAAATATTTTTTTAAATTGCTTTTCATCCGTTTTATGATTAGGACGCATTTGTTTACAATTGAATAAGATAACGGTCTGTTTATTCTTATTTACTTAATGAACGGCGTCGTTTTTTCTAAACTGATATAATCCTAATTTTATTTTTGCGTCGACAACGCGGTTATGGAAATTATTGTTGGTTAGAAATAATATGTCCGAAGAAGAGCTTATTTTGGATGGAAAAATCATGTTTTTAATAACAGCTATTGCGTATCTTTGAAGAGAATCACTTTTGTAGGTAAGTAAACATGAGTTTACCTACCAGACTCCATCTGAAACATACTAATAGAAAATACAAGCATAATAACCTGATGCACTTGTAATAAAAGATTAAAAATAATGGAAAACCTAATAATAAAAAAAAATAAGAAGCCAATAACATTAACTATGAACACGGTTACAATGTGCTGACCGTGTTTGGAAAATAAAAATTCCTATAACTCTGGATGCATGAATTACACAATCCACACATTCTTTTAAACGTCACTGATAATGACTAAAAGTATAGACGAAAAAGCTCGGATATGCAGAACTTGTGGACACTTTTTACACACTTAGATTCCAGAAAAGAAAACACTTGTATGAACACAAGAAAAGTTTAATAAAATAGCTTAATAGCATCTTCAGTCATCTTTAATGAAACTTGTTTAAAAGAGGGATTGTTGTCCAAATACACTATATATATATATATATATATATATATATATATATATATATATATATATATATATATATGTATATATATATATATATATATATATATATATATGTATATATATATATATATATATATATATATATATATAATAGCAGGTCACTCGTATACGAGGACAACCGTCTGTTAGGGGGCTAGCAAATCCATATTGCAGACTCTTGCTCAGGCACATTTGTGTTTGCTCAACACCTACAGAGCCCACCTGTCGTTTTTACTGCAACTATGCTGAGCAGACCATGGTAGCAGTTTATGGGAAAGAGCGTGTATTCTGACGTGAACAACAATTTGAACAAGGCCAACTGGCTCAAGCCCTCGGCAACAATGACTTGTTGCTTCGTGCTAGCACAGCTATCGACGGCCCCCAAGAGTTCTGGCTACCCAATTTCATTCAAAAGGCGTTGGTCAACCCGTGGTATGGTTTTCAGACACTTTCCAAGTGCCGCAAGTTGGGACCTTCTCGATTTATAGGCGCGTGGCTGATTGGTTAGAACGTTCGATTTCTGACCATAGTTGATTTATCAGGAAGGAGATTTCCGGATGTTATCGGACTGGATATATATATATATATATATATATATATATATATATATATATATATATATATATATATATATATATGGATTAATTCAAACTTTTATTGTAGTGGATACTCAGTATCTCATAGAGACGCCTCATTCTTATTTATTTAACATTGTTTATTACGTCTGTCGCATTGCACAGTCGACAAGTCTTAGAAAATAAATATATGATCCCCAGCAAGGATCGAACCTGCACCTTCTTTTGTAGGCGAAAACACGGTTTGATTCTGTTTATCTTCATTTTCTGTAACCGAGGTCGACAGAGGAAGCAAGTTTCTATTTTCCCTTTTTAAGAAAGAATATGGCGTTCAAGGGAATAGAAATGTCGGATTGAAATGTCGGATCCATGAAATTTTTAGAAATAAATAGAAAATCATATATATATATATAGCCACTTACAGACAAACTGTTTCGCTGTATGACATCTCATCAGTGTGGCTAGACATACGATTACCTCAAGCCAGAATCAGTCGGAGATTTTTCCTCTACGCTATCAGCTCCCCACAGAGGTGAAGGTGAATTTTTGCAATAAGAACGAATTAAATACAACATTATTTAAAAAAAAAGGGGTCAATATAAAAGTAGAGCTATAATTCTTTGTTATAGGTTATTACACTCGAACATGCATATATATATATATATATATATATATATATATATATATATATATATATATATATATATATATATATATATATATATATATATATATATATTTTTCTCCAGCAAGATATTCATTTCTGTAGTTTAGTGCTAACAGCAAGCAGAAATATTTCTCCTCCGATGATGGTCGAAACTAGTCGAGGAATCTAAATGGAATAATAAAAAAAAAAAAACGAAAGAATATTAATCTACAACCCAGTGTGTCTAAAGATTTTATTTTTTAATTTTTGTATTGTTCAATATTTATTTATATATATATATATATATATATATATATATATATATATATATATATATATATATGTAAAAGTCAAAATGATTTAGTGTTTTGTTGGGTAACCTTTTGCTTTAATAACGGCCCTAATTCTTCGTAGCTCAACATTCTTCGCCAGATTTCTCCAGCATTCTTTTTAATTATCGGCCACTGGAAGAGTTGCAATTTCTCTATTCGCGCTTCCTCTCTAGATAAAGTTTATTCCATAAGTCAGTATGCTTAGGATCGCTATCGTTACTAAATCATTTTTTGACTAATATAATGTACATATGTGTACCTATATTAAGACCCTGTATTAGCAAACAAATTCTATTACTCACATGTCTTAGCAAAAATACAAAAATCGACTTTCTATGGGTGCGTTCATTTTTTTTTGCCTCGTTCTGTATATATATATATATATATATATATATTGCCTCTTCATTTATATATATATATATATATATATATAGTAGAATCCCTTCTGGATATGAGGAATTGGTTACAAAGTCTGGTTATGAGGGGTTATATTGATATCAGAGTAAAAGAACTGAAATGAGGTTAATATTTATTTTCAATGTTTTATAGTAACCAAAATAAGCTAATCGTGAGTGAAATATAACGGAATTGATTTTAAGGAAAAACAAATAAATTATGTAATGGTAATGAAAATTCATTAAATTAAGTATGCCACGTATGCGAAACAAAGATTTTAACCAGGATTTTTTAATCTTTGTTGTCTGATAATTCCTCCTTTTCTAATGTCGTTCTCAACATTTTTCGCATTTCGTTTTGCTTTTGTTCTTGAAATTTTTTAAACGAAAGTCACTTTTTAACTTTGCGTGCGTTATTGCAATCGGCATAGCTGAATGCTGGCTTTCTTTCCATAAAACTATCTTTTCGATAGTTTTTTTGATTTCAGTCCCGGTTTCATCACAAGCTTGTTTTTTTTTGTATTTCCTTGTGACAGTGTGAACGATGGAGAATAGTTTATTTGGAAGATTTTATATCGTCCAATGTCGACTTTCCTATGTTGAACTCAGCCATTAGTTACAGTGAACTTTCACCAGCGTTTAGTGTGTTTAAAATTTCCACTTTCTGCGATAATTTCAAAGTCTTTCTTTTCCTCTTATTCCCATCATCTTTTGCACCAATACAAGCCTCAAATAAGCATAAGCAATTGTACAAAATAAATCTCCAGAAAAAAACAGAAAATTCAAACACAAATGGTTCAAATATATACATCAAAATCATAGACGGATATGCAGTACTCCGTATATGAGGGATTCCGGATATGAGAGATTCCGAATATGAGGGATTCCGGATATGAGGGATTCCAAATATGAGATATTCCGGATATGAGGGATTCCGGATATTAGGGATTTCGGATATTAGAGATTCCGAATATGAGAGATTCCGAATATGAGGGATTCTACTGTATATTTTTATATGATAAGTATGAATGTATTAACTTTGTTATCAGCGCTGATGTCAAAAGACCAAAAATTAATTGAGGAATTTGAGAAGAATTTGATAATCTCGAAAGAAAATATTAATCCCTTATCAAAAATATTGAATTCATTTACTTCGTTTTAATTGAATAATCGCCGGCATCATGGGGGGTTTTCTTATCAATTTGAAAGCTAAACGTAACCGACTTGACACGTCCTGTTCGTTTCAGCTCATCTGAGAGAGATGTGAGAAAAATTTATATTTCAAATAGTAATTTAATCTTAACTTTCACAAATGATTTTTTATAAGCATTTTATTCCAAGCAAGAAAATAAAGCCACTAAGATGCATGGCCTTATTGAGTGAAGAGGATATAAAGAAAAAAAGACTTTAATAATCTTGAGCTAGTCCCTTCGGATTTCCGAAAATGTATAGTGACCTGGCGTCTGTGTCCCAATACAACTGAGCTACAACTGTGACACACCACGTGATATTCACCCTCATTGAGCCGGAAGAGCAACATCGGGGTGCAACTAGGAATTACGAGTACTTTAAAAATGTTGGGGTAAACTCATGTGATTAACGCAGTTTTGAGGAGAAAGATCAAAAAGGGAAAAAGAATTAAGAATACAGAAGAAAAAAAAAATTGAGAATGCATTTAAATTTTTGGACATTAAGAAAAAAATTCGCAGTGTGAGATTGGGTTGGGTGTGAAAAAGTATTTGTTGTTAACATTCTTTTTTCATTCGGTTTTTCCAGTTACGAGTTCTTTGAGCTGATCCTTTTGTGTTCATTTTGTTTAGTTCTTTTTTCGTAACAGATTTAATGTTTAGTATAGAGCTTAGAAAAAAATCGCAGTGTGAGATAGGCAAGAAGTAAGGCATGTAGCAACATCAGCACGGCAAAGGGCACTCATTTAAAGTCAAGGAAGGGCAAAAATATTTTAAGTCAAGTGATAGCGATTGCTGTATGAGTCGTACGATTTTTGAATCAAACACGGGCAACGCTGCTAGTTCTTATATAAAGCTTGATAAATTCTTTCCGCAATAGCGTCTTGCGTATGACGATAAACTACATCCGCATACTGGGTAAAATACGTCCGACTACAAGGCCACTGAGTGGGAGGTTTTGAGGAGCGTGGAACCATGTCTTAATTGCTTCTGTTCCCAGGTCTACCTGACTCGGGGTGGTAGCACCTGTTAGGGTCCCAGCTATGGGCAAATAGTTAACCCCTAAACGGGGGTCAAAACACTATGAAAGAGTAAAAATAGGTTTTAATACTAGCATTAATTTTTTGAGGAAAAAATTTTACCAGCAATAGATTTTTGGAAAAATGTTAGCAAAAATAAAAAAAAACTTGTCGGCATTAAATAACCCATTGACGTTGATATCCCGTAAAACAAGAAGAATATTTTTTATTCATATGTATTTATATATGTAAAAATATTGGCATTAAATAACCCTTTGAGGTTGATATACCATAAAAGAAAACAAACCAAAACAAATTTTCCGTCATAGCGATTTAAGTATGTCGACTCTTAAGTTATACTTGCATTTATTTATTGATGGTCGATTTTGTTGGATGAGTGTTGCTTTGAGGGTCACAAGTCTGTTTTTATCATTCGATTTTCTAGGTCATTGGTAGAATTGCTATGACAATATTTATAGAAAAATCAGAGAGAAGATTATTAGTCTTGTTGATGTTAGTATGATTATGATGTTGCTTATGAATATGTTGATTGATGACCCTATTGGTGTGATAAAAATAACGATAGATAATTCGATAAGTTGATAGATAGAGAGATAGATAGATTGATATGAAAAGACTGAGATAGCTAGCTAGCTAGCTAGCTAGATATGAAAAGACTGAGATACATAAATAGATAGATAGATAATGAAGACTGAGATAGATAGATAGATAGATAGATAGATAGATAGATAGATAGGTAGGTATGTTAATTGTGATAGATATACATGAAAAGACTTAAATAAATATATAAGAACAAAAACGTTAGAGAGATATGTTTGACTGACATAGATAGTAGATAGAAATATATGAACAGACAGATATAGAGATATCTGAACTAAGTGACATATATATATATATATATATATATATATATATATATATATATATATATATTTTGAAAGAATTAATGGATTTGAAAAAAAAACAATCTGACGGGTCCACAATTTCTTTAATAATTCTCTAAAGTTTCCTAGCCAGTAGACGAAATAAATCCTGCTTAAAAAAAAAAAAAATACAGAGTGTCTACTCATATACGGGCATCCATTAAAATAAGGTTTTGGAATATATATATATATATATATATATATATATATATATATATATATATATATATATATAATAGAACCCGGCGTTGCCCGGGGATGTAACAAGTAGAGATAGATCAAGTATCGACCATCATAAAGACTGAAAAATAAAATTGACAAAGATTATTGTTTAAGGTTGACGGACACGCATGTTTTAATTAGGTTTTTTTTTTTTTCTTTTTTTTTCTCTTACGAATTGGTCAAACCCAAACTCAAACAAAAACATTGTTCTCAATCCTTATGAGTCTACCGATTGGGTAGAATTTTATTATAAACAATTGTTATGTAAATGGAATTTTTAAAGCATTCTGAATGTAAAAATAAAGAAAAAAGTGTTCAAGATAATAAGAAACACTTACCTGCCAAAAAAAAAAAAGTGAAGTTTTGTTGAAATCGGTTGAAAAATGTAGGAAATCCGATCCCATATATAAACTAACACACACACACAGAGAAACACACAGAGACACACACAGACAGACACACACACACACACACACACACACACACAAACAAGATGGGTTTTATAAGAAGTATAACTCGATATGAGTTGTCCCCCTTTCATTCCGTGAAAGCGATGCCTCTTAATCGTGTTTTCAAATTGATTTCATGCAAAAACAATTGTGTTTTTCCAATTTTTGGCGCTGTCACAACCACCGCAAGGTAATTTTACGTAGTCCTGTGAAGTTTTGTTGAAATCGGTTGAAAAATGTAGGAAATCCGATCCAATATATAAACGTACAGTCACACACACACACACGCGCAACCTGGGTTTTATAATAAGTATGATATTAATTATTTTTCATCCAACGTTATGTCTTTAGTAGGAAGACTTAATCTAGGTCGCTTTTTATGAATTTCACTGTATAAGAAAATGAAAAAAATACAGTGATATCAAGTAAAGAAAGTGTACCTACTAAAAAATACCTTTTAGGAGCTTAAACTAATATATACATATATATATATATATATATATATATATATATATATATATATATATATATATATATGATGGACTCTCCGGTCAATTTCGACGTATGAGGTTCGGACAACCCATATTTATAAAATTCATTTATGCTTTTGCCTCTGATGCCTTTTTAGTCCAGCAAGGGATTTGCAAACAAGGCCACAAATAGAACATGAATGTGGATTTAATGCTGCAGACATTGGTGCAGCTGCCAGTCGTTTTGCTCTTTCTCTGTTTTCTTTCAGTTGGCTTAAGCTTTCAGACTGTAACTTGTGGAGACCTTCAAAACACATTGATCTCCATCCTATGCGGTCACTCACTTCATCTTCAAGACTCCTATATGGTATGTTCACCGCAGACAAGTTACTTTTCAACTTGTCCTTGTACCTAAGCCAAGGACGTCCGACATTCCTTTTACCACCTTCAAGCTGACTGTACATCGCAATTTTTGGAATTCTGTCATCGGGCATCCTCAAGACATGACCAGCCCACCGCAATTGCGATTGAATAAGGAATAATTCAATGCCAGATATTTTGCATCTTGTGAATAATTCGGCATTTGATATATACACACAGATATATATATATACATTTGATATATACACACAGATATATATATATATATATATATATATATATATATATATATATATATATATATATATATATATATATATTCATGTTGATTCATGTTGAAGCCATTTGGTCTGATGTGACGAGACCGAGGAATCGGTGTTGCGAAATAAAATATTAACTATGGTTTTTACTATCTATCTCAATCTGTTTAGATATATCTGTCTGCTTATACCTATTTATCTCAGTTTTTTCATATATTTTATTTCAAACTACCATGAATTTACAACCTGCGTCTGCTATTCTGCGACCGTTATCGTCCCATAGCAAACTTCTAAGTCTACATAATAGAATATCAGCTTTGATGGTGAATATCTTTGTTTAGATGTCCGTATCACCACTCTGAAGATGGAACATGTGAGTCGAAAACTTAGATCAAGAAATAGCTTAATTAAAAGTACCCAAATGTTGGGTAATTTTTTTTTTCATGATCAAACATAACAGACATTGATTGTCTGTTTTATTTAACAAGATATATATATATCTGTGTGTGTGTGTGTGTGTGGAGAGAGAGATATGAACGGATTGAGATTGAGAGATAGAGAGAGATAGATATGTTTGACTTTGATAGTTGTTTGAGATAGATACATAGATAAATATGAAAACTTAGATAAACAGCTATGAATATATCTAGATAGATATAGCGATAGATCAGAATAGATATGCATACATATATATATATATATATATATATATATATATAGAGAGAGAGAGAGAGAGAGAGAGAAAGATGTATCTTTAAAATAAATAGATCGCTTGAGATAAATTTAACTGAGATAGATAGATAGATAGATAGGTAGGTAGGTAGGTAGGTAGGTAGGTAGGTAGATAGATAGATAGATAAGCATTACATTATTGAACTCTAAACAAAGGCATGCCATCATACGTTAGAATTCTTGGTCTCTTTAAAGACACAAAAATAAGAAATCCTTGTATTGCAGACAAAAATTGATTTCTCAATATTTTTATATTTCTAAGTGGGCACTTGCAAGTAGAAGAGAGTCCTTGAGATTAGCATTTTGTTTTTCAGTCCCTACTTAATTCGCTTTTCTTTCTTAAAAATCCTACTTAATTTTAAGCATGAATATCTTTGTCTAATTTTCGCAGTTTTATCCAATCAAATATTTAGCCTAACAAAAAGCACATACACACACGCGCTTACGGACACACGTATCTGTAGATATATATATATGTTTGTATTGATTTTTTTTTATTTTATCATTACTCGAATGTTTATTTTCTGTCTCTGTAAATAGATGCGCGCTGTGCCTAGCAGTTATCAACGCTGTAAATGAGTTTATCCTGCGTGTCGAGTTCAAATCCCAGACGTGGTATTTGAGTTGACTTAAAAAGAAAAAAAAGAGTAACACCCGTAGTGACAAAACGTCAAATATATGTGTAAATTTAAAAAAACGGAAAGCTTTTCAGTAATGTGGACATAAGTTTAATATATATATATATATATATATATATATATATATATATATATATATATATATATATATAAATGGTAAGCCAGTTTTACCCTAAAGATCCGTTTTGGTGAAACTGAGGCAGGTTTGCCTGGCTCCTTAGGGATTATTGTATATATATATATATATATATATATATATATATATATATATATATATATATATATATATATATATATATATATATATATACGATTATGTCTGGTATGAAAGAGCCTGACCCTCTATGTGTGTACCTCAATGTACACTTTTATATTTACACACGGTCTATCTCTGTTATTGAGCACTTTATCCCATAAATATAGCACACCTTAAGATTTGAGTTTATTTCTTCATATATATATATATATATATATATATATATATATTAGCCGAATTACACATGTTTTATTTTAAGAAAATGATTATTGATTTTAAATCAGTTATAGTTTGTGGAGAAAAATTGTGCATTTAAATATTACTCAACGATCTTGGCGATGTGACCTCTGTCTTCTGGATTTCTCCTATATTTTGGATAGGAGTCATTGCCTTGTTCAAATTCAAATTTAATTTAAATCCAAAGGAATTAAATATTTCAGTGGGGGTTTGTGAGCCTCCATCACCACAAATATCACAATACTCCGAAACCCCGTTGGATCCAAATCCCCTGAGTAATGCAATATCAGCATATATATGTTGATGGGGGTCTATCAGTAAAAAAACGTAAGAAGAGTTCGATAAAAACAGACAGAGAGATAGGCTAAAACTTTATATATAGATATATATCATATTATTATTATAGAAAAACTTTGTCATCCCCGACTCCGACCAAACGGAAAACTATAAGAACGCTGGAAAAACAAAATAAAAAATGAATTAAATTTCCTTTGTCCGTCCTATTTAACGAAAGCTTTTACAAGATGGCAGCGCATATATATATATATATATATATATATATATATATATATAAAAAGTATATAATTGGTATACACGGAATGAATTCCAATAACCAACAATTACTATTCTTAAAAGAGTGCTCAATACAAAGTAGAGCAGAATATAATTATTTTATAAAAATTTATAACATGTGTCTTATTATCAAAAATATCACTTGATAAGACACAGAGTGTGTTGAAACAAAATGACTATTTTTGTAGTTTTTTAAATATACTTATGTTATAAATTTTTATAAAATAATTATATATATATATATATATATATATATATATGTGTGTGTGTGTGTGTGTGTGTGTGTGTGTGTGTGTGTGTGTATGTATATATATATTTACATATATATATATATGTGTGTGTGTGCGTGTGTGTGTGTGTGTGAACATTTTAAAATGTAAATATGTTACAAACTGGATTTTTACTTCATCTGTTCTTTTTCTTAAATCTATCTATCTATCTATCTATCTATCTATCTATATATATATATATATATATATATCTATATCTATATCTATCTATCTATATCTATATATATGTGTATTTGTGAGAGCATGCGCGTTCGCGCGCGTCTGTGTGTGTGTGTGTGTGTCTATAATCATTTATTTTAGTTTAAAAGTGTTGCTTCTTTTTTTTACTTGAAGAGGTAGGTTGTTTTTCATTTAACAAATATCCAGTGTTTGTTTTAAATACGTTAATGTTAAGGTTGACTGCTTATAAGATTCCTGTAAACAACACTCGGCTTTTTCGATGCTTAATTTTGCAAAGTCGATAGGTTTGGAATCGAGTGCAAACAGCACTTATCTTATTACGGAAATTACCAATCAGATGTAATGACGTTTAAATCGCAAAATTGCGTTCGCCTTGTTGAATTTTCCCTGCTAGTTCTAAGAAATATTTTGTTTTTATTTGCTCTTATTTTCTCTATTTAAATATTACTGTCATTGCTTCAAGGAGAATAGATTATTACTTCATTTATAAATTTAAAAAATAATTAATACATATACATGTTTAGAGGGTATATATATATATATATATATATATATATATATATATATATATATAACACTTTATTTTCCATATGTAAAAGTATACATATTTATATATATATATATATATATATATATATATATACATATATATATATATATATATATACATATATATATATATATATATATATATATATATATATATATATATATATATATATATATACACTTTTATTTTCCATATGTAAAATAAGGTATACATATTTAAAAATCCACATTATAACCAAAAAACGTTTGCTACTTTCTTTTCTCTTTAAAATATACACTTTTCTCGTTGGAACATTTATAACCTTCCCATGTGTTTGTAGATATATATATATATATATATATATATATATATTTATATATATATATATATTATGTTTATACGTTTTTTCATGTTATTTTATAAAAAATGTCTGAAAAATAATTGTCGGACTTTGTCCATTTACAATCTCTCTCTCTCTCTCTCTCTCTCTCTCTATATATATATATATATATATATATATATATATATATATATATATATATATATATGTGTGTGTGTGTGTGTGTGTGTGTGTAAAGACAAAAAAAATCCGGTGTTTTTATTAATTATTTTTATTTAAAAAAATCATTTCTCAACCCAATTCTGCAGAGCATAAATATTATAATTTAAACACATATTTTTAAATTAGTAAATTTACGATATTTATATATATGTGTGTGTGTGTATATATATATATACATAATTATATATATATATATATATATATATACATATGTGTATATATTCTATTCATGTATATATATATATATATATATTAAGAATTGGACAAAGTCCGACAATTTATTAAAGACATTTTTATGTTTAACATTCTTTTTATATATACAAGTATTTAAGTAAATGCTTTGTTTATCATAACCAGCCTGAATATCCAAGAAATTTTCATAGAAAATATTCGTCCTTTGACAGGATTCGAAACTGCATCCTATACGGAACCGTCATTTAAGATGACGTGCCTTAACCGACTCGGCCACAAAGGAGTCTTTCGGTAGGCAAGGTCGAATTTACTGCTTATAAACTTCAATCTTCCATGAATCTCGTACATTCATAACTGCTCATGGCGTATCAAATGTAAACAAATGACGTCATACATTAAGAATTGGACAAAGTCAAAGTCGTAAATGTCCTGTTTGTTGCTGTTAAGGTTGTTCAATTTTTCAATTTGCCTTTTCACAAGGCTACATTTGTAATTCCAAGTATTTATAGTATTGTGGGCTGCTGGATCATGTATATATATATATATATATATATATATATATATATATATATATATATATATATATATATATATAAAAGGTGGTTGGTTCCTTGTACCACGGTGATAGTCCAAGATAGAACCAATAAAGAAGAACGCGAACACAGGTATGGAATAACAAAGATATATTACAAACAGGAATAATATATACAGAGAAGTAGAAGTGTTAGTATGAACAATCAGGTTTAGTAGAGAGAACAATGTAGTCTCGACCAGTATCACTATTCCAATGTCTTGCAGTAATTGTCTGAACGCCTCTCTGTTTCGGACTGCCTCTGACTCGACTTGAACTACTGACTTCTCTCCTGAGGCACAGTATTTATTAAATATGGAATAGTCCATTATTATTATTATTATGGGTAAGACCCCATAACAATATATATATATATATATATATATATATATATATATATATATATATATATATATTATTTTTATTACAAGAAAATAGCACATATATATATATTTGTATGATGTATAGGGTTCGTGAGACTGTGAGTGTGCGTGTGGTCAAAAGAGTTTCATGCTCTCACAACACATCTACAAATGCAACGAAGTCAAATTTTAAATTATGCCAATATATCAAACAGACAATTACTCTTACCTACAAATACAAGAAAAAACTCCATAGACAAATTTGAACCAGCACTAAACAAATAATAACACCACACACATACATACACACCATACACACATAGTGGACAAACACAGTAGTCAGACCACGCACACATACAAACGCACCATAGAAAATACTTGAAATTACAGCATAAATTTCTTTATAAGAATATAAGATGGAGTATATCTGTATAGAGAACGAATATATGCACCCATACTGGCAAAAACAAAGGCACTAGACGGATCAAACTTACACACATAAACACACGCAATCACAAACATACGCAGTGTGTATGTATATATAATATTTCTTGAGACAATACATTCACTGTAACAATAAGAATCACTTTTATTACCCAAGTACTTTCCATCTGTTTCTGAAGTCATCAAAACTAGTGCAGTTGTTAAGGCAAAAGTTTGTGTAGCAATCCATTGCAGAACTTTTCTTTTGCTTTTAAATGCTATGGTTGACAGTTATGTTTAGGTGTTCATTTAAAGGTGAAATGTTATCCATTATGGATGTTTTTGTATCTTATGT